CCCCACTAACCAGCTCATCAATGACCTAAAACCCATTGGGCCCACCAAGGCCCAATAATAAATGGGCTCCCCTGAGGCCCAACTCTCAAATCTAAATGGTAAGCCCAACTCAAGGGCCCAAAGCACATGTATATATTTGTCTGGTCCAAGACTCTATTGCAACAAGCCCAAACTCCACGCCCAAAATGAGACTTAGCCCAAAAGTCCACAGTGAGGTTACACGGGGTGTACCTCCCTTCGTACGCTCAGCGTATTCACGAACCCAGATTGGCCATCGGGGACACTTGGGCAGTACGCGGGCGTACTGGAATTACGCTCAACGTACTTCCCAGCTTCACTCTTTCTACTCTTTTGGTCTTAATCAATTAAGATCGTGGCTCATATCCTAGATCTGGACTCCCTAATAGCTCTTACTCCATAAAGTCAGTGACTTTAAGCCTTTGCATGACTGATATGGTCACAAACACACAAACACTCACTCTCTTATCTCAAAAAGCTAATATCTCATGCATGGCTTGATTCCAACGTCCAAGATTGGATTTTTCTGACATTACACCACTAAATACACTCAACGGGGTTGGTCATAGTCTCTGGAGCTCAATAACTCATAAAGTCTCCAACTTTTGGGACAAAAACCCTAAAATACTCTACTATGATGCACAAATCAAAAGAGTGAGAAATCTTGAAGCTTTATACCTTTATGTGAAGTTCCCAACACAGATATGCTCAGATCCAAGGGCCTGGACTCTCACTCCTTCTTCTCCAAAGCTTCTTCTTCACTCCAAGAGCACAAAATGACACTCAAAGGCTCTCAAATGCACTCACAAGCTCTATGCACGAAGATTTAGGGTTAAGAGGGTTTATTGTATGAGAATGGTGGCCAGGAATGAGGCCATCTTATTCTTTATATAGGGACATCCCCTCAATTAGGGTTTTCCTTCTGTGCCTAGTACGCACAGCGTACCCTCTGGTACGCCCAGCGTACTAGGTGGCTTCGCTTAAAAACCACGCACATGAGTACGCTAAGCGTACACACACGTACGCCCAGCGTACTCAGATGCCACTTTTCTCAATTAAGGGACTTATCATGTCATAACTTCACACTTCCATTGCTTCCTCGATATAACCTCGTTTCCAATGAACCTCATATCCACGGAAAGTTGATGAGATTCCCTATGCTCCTAGAAACTCATCGAAACCCCGAGACTTCCTCATGCCCGGGTTGCAGTCCACGAACCCTAATCACGGACGATCCGAAACAGGACGTTACAAGGGAATGGAGGTTGTCTAAACATGACCAAATGAGGCTATCATAAGGCTTAAATAGAGTGCAATACCCTAAAATTTAGGGTTTCATTAACCACACGCTCGCCATGCGTAGTCAATGTACGCCCAGCGTATGTGGTCCAAAGGCCCGATCATCCTCGAGCTAGTACGTCCCACGTATAAGGAGTACGCCTAGCGTACTCCAACTTTCCTAAAGTTGGCAATTCTGCCCTCTAGGGACCAATTTTGAAAAACATTACACACCAAGAGTCTGAACTGGAAAACACTTTGAATCGGGTGTTACAGGAAGTTTGGGAAAGATGAAACAATCTTCTGAGAAAATGTCTGGCACATCAACTCCCTGATGATGTTAAATTAGAGACATTCTACCAAGGAGTAGATTCTCAGACACGTATGTTGGTAGATACTTCAGTCGTAGGAGTGTTACTTAGCAAGAGTTACATTTGAGAGCGTGGAGATTTTGAATAGAATAGCAACCAACAACTTCCAATGGCCGATAAAGAGGATACAAACATGAAATGCAAGAGTAAGTACAACATCTGAAGCTCGTCTTGCAGCTCAAAATGATGCATTAGCAGTTGAAATGGCTTCGATCAAGAGTATGATGAAGAATATGATGTCAAGCAGTGGGGTGAAAGAAAAGAAGGTTGACTTTTACGCATTTTGTCAAGACTGACATGATTATAGTGGGTGCCCGCAAAATCCCGAATCTGTGTTTTTCATGGAAAGACAAAGTTTCCCAAAACAAAACAACCCCTACTCAGATACATACAATCCAGGATGGAGAAATCATCCAAATTTTCCATGGGGAGGACAGCAGCAACCAATGTAACCACAACCAGAACAGTATCAACAAAGGTCTCAAAACCCACCAGGGTTTTATCATATACAAATTCAACAAATGATACCTCAAGAAAGTGCATTCCACTAGGCATCAGGCAGTGGTTCAAAACCAACCGTTGCACCCGCTCAAGAGATGACTTTTTTCGAGAAAGCAAAGTTGGAGTTCATGATCAAGCAAGAGAAAAAGACTAAAGAACGTGAGAGAAATCAAGCGATTTCCATGAGAAATTTAGAAAATCAGTTAGGGAAATTAGCACAAGCACTGAACTCTAGAGAGCCAGGAACATTGCCAAGTAGTACTCAAAATCCTGGAAATGGTAAAGACACGAGGGAATGCAATGCCATTGCACTTAGATCAAGCGAGGAATTGAATAGAAAGAATTATGATTTGCCAATCACCAATGATGATCAACAATCAACATGTGTCGATGATGATAAGGAGAATCAAGAAGTGAAGGATTATCAAAAAGAGTACATCAAGATATAGGACGTGATTGATGAGGAATATGAACATAAGAAAGTGAGTGAACAAGGTCCAACGAATCCAAGTTCAAGTGTTGGAAATCAAATGAAAGTCCAAGAAAAAGAGGCATGAATTGGTGTGACAATAGCACCAACTGCTTTTCCTTTCCCACCTAGGCAAAGTAAATCCAAGGAAGATAATGGGCATTTCAAGAAGTTTCTTGAGATACTCTTTCAACTCCATATCAACATTTCTTTAGTTAAAGCTTTAAAGTTGATGCCTACTTATGCCAAGTTCATGAAGGAAGTTCTTCCAAGAAAAAGAGTTTGGAGGGAGTTTTAGACCGTTGCTATGACGAAAAGTTGCACATCATTACTCAAAAACAAATTATCTGTGAAGAAAGATGATCTAGGTAGTTTCATCTTACCGTGCAAAATTGGAAACTTTGACAAGATAGGATTGTGCGACCAGGGTGCGAGTATCAGTTTGATGCTTTGTCAATTTTTCAAAAGTTGGGACTTGGTGAAGCTAGACCGACCACTGTTTCACTCCAATTGGAAAACTGATCGATAGTCTATCCGGAAGGTAAAATAGAGGATATCATCATCAAAGTTGATAATCTTTTCATTCCTGTTGATTTTATCATCTTGGATTATGAAGCTGAAGACGAGTGTGGAATAATTTTGGGAAGGCCATTTTTAGCCACTATTCGAGCGTTGATCGATGTGAAAAATGGATAGGTTACATTGAGAGTTAATAATGACTGGAGGACTTTTAATATGTTTAAAGCTAACAAACAACCTTCTAATGTTGAAGAGTGCACATTCCTAAGAGTCACAAATAGACTGGAAATTTTGGAAGAGGCTCACTTGAGTAACCTGACTCATGACATTAAGGAGAAGAGAGAATGCAAGGTTAAACAAGAGGTGAGTCGGGTTAAAAAGAAGCATGATTTGAATGATAATGTCATTGAATCATCTTTGTCATCCCCTGAAAAGGCATATGTTTTAGAAATGAAGCGGCCTCCAGAACACTTGAAGAAGGCTAGGAAGAAAAGGCTGAAGCAGTTGTTGAAACATGGCGAACTTAAAATGCAAAATCCAAAAAATACCAAAATTCAAAAGTTTGGGATGAGAAACGGCTGGGAACGATATTTTGAAAATAGAAAAGGAAAAAAGAAATGTTTTTTGTGGGCAAAAAACGAGTAAAACGTCATTTTGGAGGATAAAGCGTACAAGTGATTTGGCTTCATTTGAAGCCGGTTGACAAGTAACTCGATTGTTTTAGTTCTATTTTTATTTTTTATTTTTAAGTCTGTTGTTGTCTTTGTTTTCATTTCAGAAGAAAAAAAAACAAAAAAAAAACAAAAATTAAAAAAGAATAATAAAAATAGTTAAAAAGAAAAAAAAAACATTTATTTTGGTTTATGTATTGTTAGTTTAGTAGTTTTATGTGTTTTTTTTTTTTTTATGATTTTGTTGAGTGTGCAGACCTTATTTTGTTTGTTGGTGTTTGAGTTGAACAAAATGAGAAATCAACCATTATCGATGTACATTATCGATGTACGTTCAAGAAAAATCATATTATTTTGAAGATGATACGCCATCAGGGAGTTTTCTGAACTTAATGCTTAATTCTCTTTTTATTGCACGAGACGAGCAATGTTTAAAGTTTAGGGATGTGTTTAGTGCCCGTTTTACGTTCACTAAATTATTTAAAAAACGTATTTTTACCCCTAATTTTAAATTTTTTACATGGTTTTTGAGCATTAAAAGAGAAATTTACATTAAATTTTGTGATGGATTGCAAGTCTCCTAATTGATGTAATTTCTTTGTCCCATTCATTTGGGATTGACCTATTTTGGTGGGTCCCTCATCGCTTATTCAATAGGTTTTTGTGGGAGTTGGGCTTCCTTTTATAATGTTCAAAACTCTAAAACGAATTGACGATTCATTAACTTGTTTTTACAAATTCACCTAAGTTTCTTAGGTCCCCACCACTTATTCGACGGGTGATTTTCATCTCACGAAATTTAAATAAAGCTTTTTATAAGTTTTTTGATATAAACTGACAGCTTGCATTACCACTTGTCATCACAAGTGCAACTCAAGTATCTCGGGTTCCCCTCCGCTTATTGGTTGGTTGGAGTTGGTTTTCATTTTATGAAAATCAAAATATAAATGTTGTGCTTTGCAAATGAATTTACGGTTTTATTTCACTTGTTATTGCGGTTCGACACTGTACATATAAATTTATTGTACCCGAATTGATTCATCTAATATATGAGAACGCTCAATTAGTTCATCAGAAATTATTGTAATTTATCACCGACCTTCATTGTGTCAAATATCAAAAAAATACTTGCCACCATGAGAACATTTATTTTCAAACATAGATAAGTACTAAAAACCATCCTTCCGTGTAGTCCGGTTCGACATGGCATATTACATTGAACCCAAAACTAACACCGAAGATTAGGGCCGGGTGAAACACCAAACTGATTACAATAATCGGTGTAGTACGCGACACGAGAACTCACCTGACCTGCATTCCCACCATTGCATTCACCGCCATTAATTTTTCTGATTGTAGCTCCGAACCCTTGACCGACGACCGAATGAACATTTGTCATCCAAAACCACAAGGCAGTCCTGAACGAAATCATTGGGTCATTAGCCACGATATCTGGGTTCCCGAGCAAATCGGACCCAATACTACTTCCAGCTGCACCATAGTTGTAGTTCCATGTAATTTGAAGTGGACCTCTCCCATAGTAGCGTTTGTTAGGGGCACACGGATATGCATTCCGGGTCCTATCGCAGTACTCTTGTTTATTTATCTCTTCTATGTAACAGAAGTCTGTCCACGCATGCATATGTAAATTAATGGATTAACAAAATATTTCAATATTTATCAAATTAGCTCCATTTTGAGCAACATACAAAATATGAAAAAAGAAACAATATATATTCCAAAAATCTAAGATTTTGAACTTACGACCAGTCTCATGAGTAACATGAGCAAAGAAGGCCGCGAGTTCTCGCTTTGAATCATCCATCGAACCGGATCTAGCAAACTCTTGGTAGTCTCTGATGACTCTAAGAAACGCCACACGTGTGTAAAAGCTTTTTCCGCGACAGGTGTTGGGAGACTTGTTTATAATCCCATTGAAGAATTCTTGGGTCACTATATCAGCTCTGTTTACGTTATTCTGGGAAGCAACCGGCTCAGGGACGATGATTCCAGCGAGAAATAGTCCGGCAAAGAGGAGGGTTGAGAGGGTTGTTTTCATTTTGTTTTTTTGTTGTGTTTGAAAGTCGCTGGAGAGAGATATTTATATAGTAAAAGTCTCATCAAAAGTCTCCCATTATTTATTTTTCTTGGGTAACGTGAATAATACGTGGTTGAAAATCCATTAGAATATGGAATTGTTATTGTCATTACTCGTATCCGAGTCAAGTCGTCGTGAAAACCAAATGAATAAGATGTCGATGAACGTATAATTAGATGAGATCTCTAGTGATGTATAAGGAGTTTAATCATTATTAGTCCTCCCGTTTTACTGTCTTGACCGCCCTCTAGATTAATAACTCCCTCCATCTAGTTTTAAACTCCAATTTGTACGTTCTCTTCTTGGGTTGTTTTTAAGTAGGAAATAGATGTTCTTTCTTGGGTTTTTTTTTAAGTAGGAAATAGACGTTCTAGAGTTTTAAGGAGGGAAAGAAATGTAATGAAAAGTAATGATTGTTCTTGAGTTTTTTTTAAAGAATAAAAAGAAAGAAATATGTTTAGGAGATGGAAAATGAAATGATACTACCCAACGAAACCCAATTTCCTGCCCACATTAACAATCAAAACTAATTCAATATATAATTTAAAAAAAAGTCAAAATAATATATCAAGTCTCATTCTGTATAACATTTTCTTATATATTTCTGTGTATTTTATTTGTTTTATATATAAATACTACATCTTTTTTTTTTTTATAGTATATAATTTTTTTTTGTGTAAAACTAACAAAT